TAAATCAATTACGGCTGTCGCGAATAAAGTGACAATGAAATGAAAAGTGTTGACTGCAGCATTAAATTTAGTCTACTCAACGTTGCATCATGATTCTTTTTACGCGTTTTTACAGTGTTGCGCATTATAACCAATCACATACGTTTCTGTTAAGTTTACTTAATACTTTTTGTGCGCAAAATAAAAAAAAACGACTTTATTCAACAATTCGTCTCCTCCGCATCACCCTGTGGCGCCATTTTGGAGAATATCCGATGGACGTAAACAGCGTATTCTGTTCTGTGTCAGCTGCGTCACACGATACACTGTTTTTGTTTAGATCAAATCACAACAACGTAGGAAACAGATCCGGCGTGACGCAGCTGATACAGAACAGCATATGTTGTTTACTGATACCGCACATGGATTATTTTACCGATCTTCTTGCTACAATCTCTGGACTTGGGAACATTTCAGTTGTATCGCTGTCTATGCAGGGTCGGACAGAACGTTGCATCATGATTCTTTTTACGCGTTTTTACAGTGTTGCGCATTATAACCAATCACATACGTTTCTGTTAAGTTTACTTAATACTTTTTGTGCGCAAAATAAAAAAAAACGACTTTATTCAACAATTCGTCTCCTCCGCATCACCCTGTGGCGCCATTTTGGAGAATATCCGATGGACGTAAACAGCGTATTCTGTTCTGTGTCAGCTGCGTCACACGATACACTGTTTTTGTTTAGATCAAATCACAACAACGTAGGAAACAGATCCGGCGTGACGCAGCTGATACAGAACAGCATATGTTGTTTACTGATACCGCACATGGATTATTTTACCGATCTTCTTGCTACAATCTCTGGACTTGGGAACATTTCAGTTGTATCGCTGTCTATGCAGGGTCGGACAGCTCTCAGATTCCATCAAAAATATCTTAATTTGTGTTCCGAAGATGAACGAAGGTCTTACGGTTTTTGAAACGACATGAGGGTGAGTTATTAATGACAGAATTTTAATTTTTGGGTGAACTATCCCTTTAAGATCAAACTGACAAAATACAAGTTAAAGGTGGGGTATGTATTTTTTCAAAAACGCTTTAGAAAACTAAGTCGGGCCGAGTACCAAAACAAACTTGTAGCCAATCAGCAGTAAGGGGCGTGTCTGCTCATGATGTGGAAGAGACGGACATTAGCCGAGCTGAGCAACGACAGAAAGATAGAGATTGTGGATAAAAAAACAAAAGAGGAAAACATCTGGGGAACAAAAGAAGGCTTACGATGAGGCAAGAAGTAGGACCCGTGACAGTTGTTGCGCCGCAACAATTAAAGTCTGTCTAGTACACTGGACGCGATAAAGCGATTGCTGAAAATCATTTGAAATATGTGTCAATATGTCATAAATAGAACACAGCAGCAGTTTTCTGTCGGGAATTTGTCGTGTCACGCCGCAACCCAGTGTAGACAGCATCACTGATTATAATGAGTTCTATAGTATTTTGTCACGCCGCGCCACTCGCGTCCGGTGTAGACACTGTGTAACATTGGTTTTGCTTTGCTTCACAGAACTAATCATTGCCTGAGTTGTGTATGTATGTGTGGGGCGGAACTATCAAATAGGGGCGAGATTCTTTTGGGGTAGGGGCATGTTTGTTTTGGTGATTTGAAATATCAACATTGGCTACCAGAAATCACTTACCCCACCTTTAATACAATGTTATTGTTCCCTTAAATGGTTAGATTCAATATTGAGTGCAATATAAACAGCACAAAATACAGATTTATTCAGATACAGATATTTCACATTTAAAGTTAGTGATTCAGTCAAGTCATGCAGTACGTGTGCCTCTACAAATATAAGTGCTTTGAGACATTATTAGTGACAAAAGCAGCCGATTAGAAATTATTGCAACATTCTTTTTGTATGATTTCACAGTTAATTGTAGGTACCTAAAGTGTAATGTTGCTGTAAAATATATTGGTCAGATATACAATTAGTAGTGTTAAATTCTTTTATAAAAACATTCAGGCACTTGAGGTACATAGTAAACAAAGCATTTGCACAATAACTACTGTTAAGTTCAAACAAATAGTTTGACCTCCTCTTCATTCACATCATAAAGCATGACCATTTGATCCTTACGGACTTTTATTCCTCATCTTTGATCAGCCACACCTCGTTCCTGCGGTTGGTCAGTTTGAAGGGGCTGTCATATCCCGCTCTGTAGAACGGGGCCTCCTTGAATTTCATTCCATCCCTCTTGAGGCTCTCTATCAGTTTCAGAAGCTCCACACGACTGCTCTCGCTGTTAGCAAAGCCTCCATAGGTCCTGCAAAAAACAAGGCCAAGCAAATGTCAAGTTATGACAACAAACAGAGAAAAGTAATGTTGTTTTTCCAAGACACTTGGTTTGACCTGGATCTAAAATCCCTTGCAAAATAAACTGCCACTCAAAGGTTTGGAGCCTAATAAGTTTTAATGTTTATAAAATAAATCTTTTATGCTCAGTAAAAATAGTAATATTGTATAATTGAAAAGAACTTTTTAAAATATATATATTTATTTAATATATAATTTCTTCCTGTGATGGCAAAGCTGAATTTTCAGCAGGCATTACTCCAGTCTTCAGTGTCACATGATCCTTCAGAAATCATTATAATATGCTGATTTTCTGCTCAAGAAACATTTCTTCCTATTATCAATGTTGAAAAGTTGTGCTGCTTAATATTTTTATGGAAAGTGTGATTTTTTCAGAATTCTTTGATTAATATAAAGTTCAAAATAACAGCAGTTACTTAAAATATAAATGTTTTTCAAAATTCTAAATGTTTTTCTGTCACATAAAAAAAAAACTGACCCCAAAATTTTGAATGCTAGTGTAGCATTTTCATTTACAGTATAAAAGCCCTTGACACAAACATACCTCACAAACAGCGTGACCTCTTTTCTGTTCTCGATGAAAACATCTGGATCTGTGGGTTTGGGTGGGTCAGCCTGATGTTCCTCAGGAATGTAGAAGGACACAGTGAAGGTGCTTTCACAAGCGGGTCCTGCACCAGGCTCAATCAGACAGCTCACTGGTGCTGTCATCTCCACCTTACACTCTGATACATGACGTACAGGACAAGCGCATAAGTAAAGGAGCAGAAACATGCAATGATCTCAGTGTCTGAAATATCTGCTAAAGCTATTTCGCAAATGCAATGTCATCTGGTGAATCATTAGCACAATTTACTCTGTGGGAACACAACCTGCCACATGCACATAATAATTTTTTATTATTATAAAGGCATATCAAGATTTATGCTGGTAGTGAGATTTATTTACAGCAGTCATGTAGCTCACAGAAAACCTTCGTTTCAACATAATTGAATTTTGGCTTTGTGCATGAGGTGATTTCTCACCCATGTGCTTATGTTATTTTCCATTGTATACGTGTTGTGTAATGAAAATGTCATAATCACAAGCCCAAAATGCAGAAATAATGGCTGAAAGCTCTAATCTTGAATGTCTACTACAGAAAAATCTGCTTTCTAGTCACCTACAGGAACATGACCACTTACTTTTGTCATTATTCCCCTGAATGTATTTGAAGAGTCTTCTGAAGCCTGTGCCAAGGGCCGGGTCCTGCTCCATGCCAGTCATAGCTGTGCTCACCCAGTTTGTTGTGTGGTAAGTGCGGACCTCATAGTCTTCACCCTAAGAAGCATCTATTCATCAAATATGACTGGAAACATATGAGCCATAAAACAATGAACAACAATAAACAAGGTCTGCTTTAATCTAGACATGAGTCTAGGACTACATCAAGAAGCAATAAGTAAAAATGAACATATCCAAAGTCTGCAAGGTTTCTGGCAAAATCACCCATGTACACACTAACCTTACTCTGTTGAGCAGTGAACTTTGGGTGCTGGAGTCCAGAAGAAAAAAAAGTTTGACCGATGGCTTTAAGCATCTTGACTGTAATGCTGTTCAAAATTAAAGATGGATTAATAAAGTTGCAAACTATTTTTATGACAAAATACAATTTAGAAATGTCAAAACGTGAGAATGAAGCGCCACACCTGACACCAGACACATTTTTGTAATGATTCCATATTTTTAACTAAAATATCTCTACATGTGTGTCATTACGTGGGGAAAAAATAAGAGAGAATTATTTTTCCATACAACAATACTGAGTGGTAATTAGTAGTCCAGTACGTTGGGACGTTTAAAGGATTTTATACTTCTCTGCCCATATTAACATGATTATGACATTATTGTGACAAGGCTAACAATGCTATATGAGCTATTCTAGATAATAATTAAAAGTAAATACAACTTAAATCTGTTAGTTCAAGTTTTGACATGCTGTAAACAGTATTCTGCAAACAGTATTCTGCGCTGTTTTATCGCGCAATACTGAGGAAAATATATACATTTAAAAAAATACATCATAATTAGATTCATCCCCATACGCGACTCTAATTTTTAAAAAAAGTGCATATGGATGGAATATGGGCCACGTCTGTACATTAACCCTGTTCAAATGTTGCCAAATCGCGCTGAAATCAAACTACCACTATATTACACACTTATTAGATTGCAGTGACATATAAACTCACCTGTCCGCCGTTTAGCGCTAAAATGTTGCAAGTGCCTAAAAACTAAGAGAAGCTCGAGCGCAGTATTTAATCGTCCGTCAGACAGGCGTGTTCTTCTTCTAGATAATGAAGATGCAGTTACGGGCGCTATGTAACTCGTCTCCGCTTAAGTAACGCTTGCACTGACACTTCCGTGTTTTCACGTTACATCACGCACGAGAAGGCTCCGATTGGTTGTGACTAATATGTAAATAAAGAAAGACACGACCCAGCAGCGCTATACTACTCTGGGGAAGAAATATTACATCAATGGGACAAAATATTTGAAATACAGTTTATCATTTTTAAACATTCATAAATAGTGATACATTAGAAAGGCATCAAGTTACCTTGCAGTAAAATTTAAGGTCAACTAGAGTCAGGTTGCAAACACTATCACTTAAAAGCCATACATTTTCCATCATCACATCAAAACTTTTGTACAAACTAATGGATAATTGCAGACACACACAATCTGAAGTATTCCACTCACACTAGACACAAAAACCTATAAAAAAATTTTTCAGAGGAATATCCCCAATGTGCAAGAGATTGTGTGTAACCTGTCCAAAATTGACAATTTTGAATCACTAACAAGCATTAGCATACACTACTGTGATATCAACATAAATTTAACCCTAAAGTCTTCTTACAAAACATTGCAACATGATCTGAGCACCATAAACCTGTGACCAAAATACATAAAAATAAAACTACACAAGCAGCTATCAAATGGATCTCCCTGTTGGTCACTTCATCTTCAGGGCTGTGTTTTTCCTGCGTGGTGGCTCTCTCTGGACTTGTCTGGCTCTGGCACCGAGCCCCAGGGACTGAAGAGATTCAGTGAGGAAGCATTGAGTGGGAGATACGCACAGCATTATCAGAAGCTTGGCATCCCCTCCTGTGGCAGAAAGGGGACAGAAAAGATGTCAAAAGGATGGTCAGGTGAGGCAAGAATGTAGGCAGGCCTTGTCTATGACGCTTATTGTGGCATGTTAAAACCTGACTGGTTGAACTGGTTTTAACTGTGGTTCAAATAAAAGCAAAGGAAACTTGTGTCACGCATTATATACAAAGAAAAAAAAATTATAAAATCTTTATTCAGAGGCCAATAAGTGCAAAAAAGTATGCATTCTTGCAAGTATGCAAGTATGCATTTTGAAGTGGACTTTGAGCTTTGTAACTTTGCAGATCTTTTTTATGCTCAAACAGCAACATTACAGATTAACTAAAGTTGAAAAAGTGAAAAAGCATAATAGGACCCCTTTAACAGAGACAACAGACTGTCCATGACTGCCCCAGAATTATTTACTTATATAGTGCCTCTCACAATACACACCCGAGCAGGCGAAAAAGAACATATGGCATAAGTCAAAATTTTGTAGATAAATAATAGTATACATACACCATTATACCTAATGTTTAAAATCACATTGCAAATAATAATAAAATTTTTTTTTTTCTTTTTCAAGTAAGCTGTACTGTTATAAAGGACATCCAAAATACATGCAAATAAAAAAAATGTTTGGCTCGTCTTTACCCCTATTTTCTGGATGGATGGATGGATGGAACAATAGCTACAATGATACATAGCTAGACGGAATAAATGACCAACAGACAGTTTTTTTTTTTTTTTTTAGACAATAGGGAACAAGTGCTGTTTTTACAATCTTCATGTGTAAGGTAGTTGTGTTTCACAGTAAATCTGCTCTCACCTATGGCGTCCTGTAACAGATGTGTTAGCTTGCTGTTGCGGTAGGGTACGTGAGGTCGTCTTTCGACTAGAGCTCCCAGAACATCGGACAAAGCAGAGAGGCTGCGGTTTATACAGGAGCTTTCCCACAGAACGGCACCGGTCACACCTGACATTCCTAAAAACAGATAAGCACTAGTGCTGAAAGTCTATTCACATCTTCATTTACTAGCAGCACTTCAATAAAATCTGACCTGAGATTTAACACTCCATAAACCTTATCTAATGACTGAACATGGTTGCTGTGTTTTGTTTTATTAGCTTAACTAGTAACTACTCATGATGTCTTTGGCAGATGGAGCACAACATTGCATCCTCTTGCCCACACACTCACTCCCAGCCAGGTCTACCAACTGCAGCTTGGTTTTGAGGGGTGGCTGTGTGATGCTGGGTCGGGGGGAGGGGCATGGTGAGTGGCACGGTGAGGAGGCGAGGCTAGACGAGTGTGATGAGGCCGCCCTGCGGCAGCGTGGGCTCCACCACTCCTTCCGAGACACCCGCTGGACGTCCTGTCTGGCATTCTGCAGACAACGAGCTGCAACACAATAGGAGTCCATAAAGTATGAATACATTTTCTTCCAAGTGTTATGGTAACAAAGTCCCTTTTTATTTTTTAAATATATATATTTAAATGACACCTTTATTAAAAAGTGATTGGCTCTTTTAACATTAGGGCGGGACTACAGAGGCCCCATTCCATTCAATTATATGTCTCCTGCACATATGCCTCTGATGCTACACACTTGAATCCAATGACAACCTTTATAAGGTCTTTCAGTGCTACCTTGAAGTGAACATTGGGCTCTCAAGTAGCAAGAAAGTGCTTGAGAGAGTATGTGTGTGTGTACATGAAGATAACTAATCCAGTGGGTGTGTCAGAAAATAGAGCTGTTTGTGTGTGCATCTTTAGATAATACACTTGGTCTCACTTAGCCATAACTGCGTGTGCTGCAGATAGTGGCATATGGCTTGAGGGAACATTAGAGCTTCAAAATGTGTGAGTTGGGGACTGGCACTCTTGAAGAAACACACATTTCAAAATGTCTCACTTTCAACATTTGATATGTTATCTATATTCTATTGTGAATAAAATATAAGTTTATGAGATTTGTAAATTATTCTATTCCTTTTTTACTCACAAATTGTACAGTGTCCCAACTTTTTTGGAATTGGGTTTGTACATCACCCACCACCAAATCTCCCATCTTAAATGTACACATTTTATGCAGTGTCCAAATACCTCTCAAACTCAAATATTTTGTTCATTACAGGACTTGAGGTTTTGGCGCAGTTCACAAAAACAGAGTCCTGCAAAACAAGGGTGGTCAGAGATGATTAATCGAGGGTATAGGGTGTAATACTAGGCCATTACAATTGTATAGATCCCATAAACACTACAAATAATCAGTTCACTCACATCATTGATGGCCTGCACTACTGCTTCACATGATGAAGATCTTAAAAATGAAAATGAGATTTAGTACACCAACAAGATATACCACATACCCAAAACAAGTGGTTGCTGAATGAAATAAAATTTTAATTTTAAATTGAATCGCATTATATATATATATATTGATAATATAATATGATATTCAGTGTACCCCCTACATCATACATTTACGACTTTAAATAAATTGCAAACATTACCCTGTAAATACATTAAGAACAGTGAGTCAAATCAGAGAACCAAGTACTGTACGTACAACCAGGGTGTTGTGGAGCAGCCTCCTCCTCACCCGCTCCTCTTTGCACCTCTCCTTCTCTTCCTGTAAAGAGCGCTCAAGTGCAGTCACCTGAACCCGGAGCTCAGCAGAAAGGCAAAAAAAACATATTTTAAAAAAGGCAATTTGTATATATTCAAATATGAAAAGCAGTGCAGGACCAATTAGACACTCCAGTCTAATCCATGGGACATTCCAGTCAGTTTAATGACTTGACTATAGAAACAAGTGAAGTGCTTGAGTAATGTATTAGGAACCGTTTGTCCAGGGCCAAAGAAGAAACTGAATGAGAAAATACTTGAGAGCACAGAAATAAGACAAGCCACATTTTAGCACAGAAATAAGACAAGCACATTTTTAGTTTTAGGAGTCTGAAGCATGACATGAATGTGAGGAGGAAATAGCAAAATACAGGTCAAATGTCACAAGAAAAGGAGAAAAATGCCTCCATGTCAATGCAAGAATACCCAACTATCATGTCTGCAATGATACAAACTGAACAACTCACAAGTTTGGATGTCATCAACATTTAGGTTCTACTTTAGGTTCTAGGGACCACTTAGATGAGTAAATCAAAGGTTACCTACATCTCTCTGACCATTTGATGACTAATGGTCAGAACAAAACTTGACTATATTTAATAACAGCCCAAGAACATTTAGTAACAAACAAAATATACACAAAATATGCTTGTAAATAAATATTTTGTTTGTACAGTTTTGAATGTTTACAATCACATACTAAATTATGTAATTGGTTTAATAAATTCTAGGTTTATATACTTTTTAATATAAATACAGTATAAGTTAATTGTTGATAGCTCCACATGTGAATTAATGCATGTGTAAACATCTAAATGCAATGAAATTAATATTGGACTAAAAAAATCTACCAAACATCACTGGAAACAATAATGGTAGTGATACTGTAGTCTTTGAAGGTATCCTTAAAAGCTTTTTGTCAGTAACATATTTTTTCATTTGCACTTTGAGACTCAGTGAGGAGCTGTTTGGCTTGGAGTTTTACAAATACAACTATATAAATGACAAGGGATACGATCCACAGGCCCTGCGGGAGGCTTGTCACCATGGTGTGCAGGTGATGCACAGGACACAGGACACATGACCTTTCTGTCCCTGCTGACAGCAGCTTTTCCTGGAGGAGAGGCTGGGGGAGAGGGACTGTGGATAATCTCTGAACACTGCACCACATACCTACTGTCACAACAAGGCTGGTTTTGTGGTAGAGGAGGAGACAGATGAAGGAAGAGACAGATGAAAAGGAAATGAGAGCAGAAGATTAAATAGAAGAGGAGATGGAGGTTCAGAGTTGAGGTTCATAATCCAGGCCATTATCTCACCTTGCCATATGACTGAATAGTCTATGTGCATGTAATTAGTGAATGAGACCCATTAAGTGTATTTGGAGGTACAAATATTCACAGATAACACAGATGAACTGATATGTTGGTGTGTGAGTTCACACTCACTCTGAAGGTCATCACTTTGGAAATCCTGAATAGCATTTCTGGCAGTGCCCACGCATTCAAACAGCTGCTTGCTTTGTTCCTCCAGTTCTTTAGCAAACCTCACGTAGATGGTAAAAACATCCCTCAAGTCCTGTTCCAGCATCTGAGAGCGACACAGATCACATGATGATGCTGGATTTGTAAAACATTGCATTTCAATGCATTTGTAGTGTAGGACTTGTTTCAAAGCAGTGTTTTGCCATCACCTGAACTTCAGACAGAAGTTTGGAGAGAGCTGCATGTGTGGACTTCTGCACTTTACTCTGCTGCTGAAGTTTCTGTCTCTGGACATGGATTTCTTCCTCTCTCTCACGGCGGAGTTTACACAAACACTTGAAAAGGTTAAGGAAAGGTCAATGGGGAGCACATACAAACTGATCAGTGCATTTACATAGTTTTTTCACCTTACAAAAAACATTGCAGAGATGACAAGTCTGGTATTTTGATACACACTACCATTCAAAAGTCTGGAGTCTCTGTAAGATTTCTTGATTTTTTTTTACAATTACAATTTAATTGTAAAAATTATTTTACAATTTAAAAAAACTTTTTTTGATAGGACAGTTGTCCTTCATAATATTTCTCAGGTGTCTTTGAGGAATATAAAGTTCAAAAGAACAGCATTTATTATAAAGAGAAATATATGTTTACTGTCATTTTTAGCAATTTAATGCATCTAACTGAATAAAAGTATAATTTCTTAAAAAAAAAAAATTATTTTCCCATGATACAAAATAATTATCATATTTATACACCATGGTATTTAGATTGCACTCAAAGCTACTTCAAATATTACCATAATATTATCATAATACAAAAAGTATTCTTTTTGGTATATTTTTGAATGTGGATCTCCAACCAAAGGTATATCTCTGGTCTGTACTTCATACCCAGATATTAAGCATGTGAGTAAATTAGGTGAGACTGGCGAGCACCTGTCGCCTGTCTGCAAGCCACTTATCTTGCAGTGAAACCATCTGGCAGGTAAACTTTTAACTGCAGTGGAGGGTCGACCCCCATTAGTGGAGTTAGATGCATTTCACACTGAATTTGCTTCATCCATACCTCAGCAAGTCTCAAACGAAGGAGAGCATTCTCTGTTTCCAACTCCAAAATACGCTCCTCTTTACTCTAAAAGGAGAAAGACAGAAGTGTAAAGAGTACCTGAAAACCATAATTGAGTAAAAGTACACATATCTTGCAGTGAAAATTACTTATTACAACCCACCAATTCCAAAACAACTTGAGTAAAAGTATCTGATTTTAACAGTATTTTACTTATATTAAATATAGGCTCAAAGATGCACTAGTCAAAGAGACACGCCAGTGAAAAACAAGAAAGAGGTGATTTGTGAGGAGAGCAATCACGTTTATTTTCTAAAACCAAAATAAAACTGAACACCTCAAAATTGGAAAAAAAAAACCCAAAAAACAATGAAAAAGGTCTCTTCAGTATAAAGGATAAATAAAATAATGTTAAGCAAAATTAAAAAGTCAAAGCCTTCTTGCACTGCATGTGCTGGGTTGGCCTCAATGGCTTGCTAAGGAACTCGTATTCACGTAAAGTAGCCTTGTTGACAAGTTTGGGTGACAAAACTTGACTATATTTAATAACAGCCCAAGAACATTTAGTAACAAACAAAATATACACAAAATATGCTTGTAAATAAATATTTTGTTTGTACAGTTTTGAATGTTTACAATCACATACTAAATTATGTAATTGGTTTAATAAATTCTAGGTTTATATACTTTTTAATATAAATACAGTATAAGTTAATTGTTGATAGCTCCACATGTGAATTAATGCATGTGTAAACATCTAAATGCAATGAAATTAATATTGGACTAAAAAAATCTACCAAACATCACTGGAAACAATAATGGTAGTGATACTGTAGTCTTTGAAGGTATCCTTAAAAGCTTTTTGTCAGTAACATATTTTTTCATTTGCACTTTGAGACTCAGTGAGGAGCTGTTTGGCTTGGAGTTTTACAAATACAACTATATAAATGACAAGGGATACGATCCACAGGCCCTGCGGGAGGCTTGTCACCATGGTGTGCAGGTGATGCACAGGACACAGGACACATGACCTTTCTGTCCCTGCTGACAGCAGCTTTTCCTGGAGGAGAGGCTGGGGGAGAGGGACTGTGGATAATCTCTGAACACTGCACCACATACCTACTGTCACAACAAGGCTGGTTTTGTGGTAGAGGAGGAGACAGATGAAGGAAGAGACAGATGAAAAGGAAATGAGAGCAGAAGATTAAATAGAAGAGGAGATGGAGGTTCAGAGTTGAGGTTCATAATCCAGGCCATTATCTCACCTTGCCATATGACTGAATAGTCTATGTGCATGTAATTAGTGAATGAGACCCATTAAGTGTATTTGGAGGTACAAATATTCACAGATAACACAGATGAACTGATATGTTGGTGTGTGAGTTCACACTCACTCTGAAGGTCATCACTTTGGAAATCCTGAATAGCATTTCTGGCAGTGCCCACGCATTCAAACAGCTGCTTGCTTTGTTCCTCCAGTTCTTTAGCAAACCTCACGTAGATGGTAAAAACATCCCTCAAGTCCTGTTCCAGCATCTGAGAGCGACACAGATCACATGATGATGCTGGATTTGTAAAACATTGCATTTCAATGCATTTGTAGTGTAGGACTTGTTTCAAAGCAGTGTTTTGCCATCACCTGAACTTCAGACAGAAGTTTGGAGAGAGCTGCATGTGTGGACTTCTGCACTTTACTCTGCTGCTGAAGTTTCTGTCTCTGGACATGGATTTCTTCCTCTCTCTCACGGCGGAGTTTACACAAACACTTGAAAAGGTTAAGGAAAGGTCAATGGGGAGCACATACAAACTGATCAGTGCATTTACATAGTTTTTTCACCTTACAAAAAACATTGCAGAGATGACAAGTCTGGTATTTTGATACACACTACCATTCAAAAGTCTGGAGTCTCTGTAAGATTTCTTGATTTTTTTTTACAATTACAATTTAATTGTAAAAATTATTTTACAATTTAAAAAAACTTTTTTTGATAGGACAGTTGTCCTTCATAATATTTCTCAGGTGTCTTTGAGGAATATAAAGTTCAAAAGAACAGCATTTATTATAAAGAGAAATATATGTTTACTGTCATTTTTAGCAATTTAATGCATCTAACTGAATAAAAGTATAATTTCTTAAAAAAAAAAAATTATTTTCCCATGATACAAAATAATTATCATATTTATACACCATGGTATTTAGATTGCACTCAAAGCTACTTCAAATATTACCATAATATTATCATAATACAAAAAGTATTCTTTTTGGTATATTTTTGAATGTGGATCTCCAACCAAAGGTATATCTCTGGTCTGTACTTCATACCCAGATATTAAGCATGTGAGTAAATTAGGTGAGACTGGCGAGCACCTGTCGCCTGTCTGCAAGCCACTTATCTTGCAGTGAAACCATCTGGCAGGTAAACTTTTAACTGCAGTGGAGGGTCGACCCCCATTAGTGGAGTTAGATGCATTTCACACTGAATTTGCTTCATCCATACCTCAGCAAGTCTCAAACGAAGGAGAGCATTCTCTGTTTCCAACTCCAAAATACGCTCCTCTTTACTCTAAAAGGAGAAAGACAGAAGTGTAAAGAGTACCTGAAAACCATAATTGAGTAAAAGTACACATATCTTGCAGTGAAAATTACTTATTACAACCCACCAATTCCAAAACAACTTGAGTAAAAGTATCTGATTTTAACAGTATTTTACTTATATTAAATATAGGCTCAAAGATGCACTAGTCAAAGAGACACGCCAGTGAAAAACAAGAAAGAGGTGATTTGTGAGGAGAGCAATCACGTTTATTTTCTAAAACCAAAATAAAACTGAACACCTCAAAATTGGAAAAAAAAACCCCAAAAAACAATGAAAAAGGTCTCTTCAGTATAAAGGATAAATAAAATAATGTTAAGCAAAATTAAAAAGTCAAAGCCTTCTTGCACTGCATGTGCTGGGTTGGCCTCAATGGCTTGCTAAGGAACTCGTATTCACGTAAAGTAGCCTTGTTGACAAGTTTGGGTGAGTAAGGGGAAAACTTGGGTGAGAAAGTGGCAATATCACTTCTTTTGTAGCAGAAATAAAAGCTAGGTGCCATGCAAAATGTAATGTATGATTGCAACACTCATTTCAAATGTAGTGGAGTAAAGAGTACAGATACTTATTCAAAATTGTAGTGACGTAGAGAATAAAAGTTGCTGATATCTTTGATAGTCATAGTATCGAAAAAGATACTCAAGTAGGCTACAGTATTAATTACATTTACTTAAATATTTTACACCTCTCGAGAAAGGAGAGGGCTTTATCGTTACATTTAAATATATAACTATACAGAACACACGCAATAGTACAAAGTATTTAAAAAATAAAAACGATACAAATAATATAAACTACAAAATTCAGCTGATCACCAGTCACATACAAAACTTACCTGACACACCTGTGGATGTGTCTTAAAATCTTAGTGAATTGCCTGCCTAGACAATACATCTGGTTAATATACATAATTCTATCCTGGGTCAGCAGCTCTAGGTTTTGAGACACAGCCATCCCTTACAAAAACACAAACAAGTATGGGGGCAGTACCATGGTACATTGATGGTATGAGATACCATCAATGTAGGCCTACCATGGTACAGTATTTTGATATAGGCCTATAGACCATGGTACTAAATGATGATATTTGCATAGTATTCTAATGCACTTGTATTACCATGGAGGTCATATAGAGGTATGTAATTATATTGCTATATACTATAACCGATATAACTATTTCTAAAATTATCCTTGGCCCCATCAAATAATATAGCAACGTAAATCATAACGACAGTATAAATATCTGTAAATCAAACACAATCAAAGCGACACAAATACATTATTTACCAGCCCACCTGTTCTTTTACATTCTGGTAATATAAGAGGAAACTCACCCGTAGTTTGTGCTCTAGAAGATGGACTTGATGAGCAAAAATTTGATCTCGATTAATAAAGAGCAGCATCGTGAATGAGAGTAAGAACACAATGTAAAGTGAAGCATTTATTGTTCAGTGGTACAGTGCATGATGAGCTTGTGTGTGGTTTGTCGGAGGTGTAATCCGATTACCTGTCTGCACACACTAGCCTATGTTCGGTGGTTTCTGATCTATATTTGACATTTCATATAGTGTTTTTTAAGTACAATGTATAAAACTGTTTGTCCATTTATTAACAATGTAGGTTTGATACATGGATTTTGACTTGTTTTAAACGTTTTAGACTTCATGACAACAATCACAGCTGTACCACACTCACACTACACTGAGACTCCACAGTGCAGGCCGATAAAACGACCGTCATCAGGGCCATTTGAAATTTGACGCCCCCTACTGGTTACTCGATCAATTCTCCACGGGGCCGTCACATCTCACAAAATAAGGTGATATCAGGTCATACGAGGCTGATAAGGTTGGAGAGTCATCATAGCTTTTTAAGATTCAATTTACAAATAATGCAAACGGTTTTAAACAGCTGCCACAATAGTGGCACTTAACATTTGAACAGATTGATCGGAGTTTGCTAACTGCAATATTTTCATGAGGTTAGTATGTTTTTAATAATTAAACTACCAAGCATCTAAAAGTATGGTATCATGAATTACAAAATGCTGAGATTGGCTAAATAACCATATTATTTTATATTAGAAACTACTGGGGAAAAAAGGTCAAAATTAATGTAAAAGATTTTTTTTTTTTGCTGTTGTTGTTTACAATAATGGTTTTGTTGTATAGACTTAGCTCATTTTATTTGAACACGTGGTTTTGGGCTTAACAGTTGATTCTTGATAAATATTTTAAACATAAAATGTTAACAAAAGGTCTGACTCTGCACAATGCGAAATTTGGAAAATGTTCATGATTTACCAAAAAGTGGCCTAATTTACCTGCATGCACTGTAGGACACAGGGCTCTCCATTCAATTATTTATTAAGCAGTGAGATTAGGAGTACAATACAGGCTAAATATGTAAACAGCTTTTCCCCTGAGGTATAAATTAACACTGGGAGAGAGAGTATTAAAAGCAGACCACCAGGATAGATTCTAATTTTGTCTTTTGGCACATTTGACATTTCTAAAGCAGTTTTCTATTGCACAGTGTAGACAGGTCTAATTCTAAGCACTACGTCTGATTTCCATACTGCTGGAAACAGACTGATTCCATTCAACTGATGCATTAATACACAGAACACACGCCACAACATTATTTTCATAATTCAATCAGGTTATCGTTGATATGCTTGTGGACAGACCCAATTTTGATACCAATAAAAGCTCTACCTTAAGAGTAAATCAGCAACCATAGACGAATAACACAGAAAAGGAATGTCTTAAAAGCTGGTAAAAGTCCTCTTTATGTACCATAAATCGCTAAAGACTGAAAGGAATACATTAGTGTTAAGTGCAAAATGCCTCAGATACACGGTGTATGATGATATATTAGAGATGATTTCACCTGAATTGGCCATGTGTGAATTTTACTAGATTTCCCTTCTTTTACAGTGTACTGACTTGAGTATGTACTTGCTTTAGTCTCATCATAGCCTGTTAAGATTTTAAACATCTGTTTTAAATATGACAAACTGGATTCAAGGCCTGATTAAAAGCACACAATTACAGTTTGGAAGTAATTTGTCTATATCAGCAGTACTCAACGCTTATTTGCTCTCTACACACATGGCTATACCCATTCCACCACCTATACAAAGTGAAGCGACCCCTTTCTGTCCCCCTGTCCTCTGAAGTGCATGAAGCAGGGTCACCAACACTCTACAGCCAGACATACCGAGAGGATGTCCGAGAGCGATCGCCCCTCCACACACATTCACCTGAAGGGAGAGAGACAAAAGAAGTGTTAAATTATGCTGTGCACACATGGATATGTCAAATATATAACAAGGAAATGTTGTAATTGATCAGCTGTAAAAAATGAGGCAGATTAGTAATTGTCTTTCTATAAATATTATAATTATGTTTTTTAACTTAGGCAAAGAGTTCATTTCATTCATTTTCATGTTGCACTCTGGTCACTGATAGCAATAGTGAACAAAGGTCAAGTGAGATGGACCTCCAATATTTGCAATAATGTAGAGACTCATCATGATATTACACTCTTATTACTGTGGTACAGAAATCATTGGGTAACTGTGTCAATATAATATTGTGTAAAGCTGCATGAAGCAAAGTATGTATAAAGTGGAGGAAACACACCTTATCAGGATTTAGACCGAGCTCCTTTACCACTGCGACGGACTGAGCTGCAAACGCTTCATTTATCTCAAACAGATCAACCTCATCCAGCTTCCATCCGGCTTTCTCAACCTGGTCAGAAAGCAGATTCAATTCACTTTAAAATCCAACTTATAGAATCATTATTGCTTGTGCAAACCAAATTTGTTTTAACAATAAATTGGCAAGGACTGTAGCAGAAAACACTTTAATTAATGAATTAGTAAATGTTGTGTTGTTATGAACCCAAAACAATTTCTAAAAAGAATCTTGGCACAATCAAACTCTTGGCTCAGATTCTAAATCTGGGTCTGAGTATTTCAGGATAAGCACTGATTACAAAAATTAATTCTTCATTCATGTGGCTGAATTAAGTGCTGCGATGACTCAACAGACACTCACAGCTTTTCTAATGGCTGGAATTGGCCCTGTGCCCATGACTGACGGGTCAAGGCCTGCCTGAGCCCAGGACGTGACGCGTGCCATTGGTTTTAAGCCTCGCCTCTGGGCCTCTGATTGGCTCATGAGAACGGTAGCTGCAGCTCCATCATTTACGCCTGTTAAACAAAAACACTACTATCTGTATGCAGTGAAAATGACACTTAAGTTACATCATAATTGAGTGTCAAAGATGTCACCATTTACCCGATGCATTGCCAGCTGTCACTGTACTGGAAGCATCCTTCACAAAACAGGGCTTCAGTTTGGACATAGCATCAATATTACTGCCATGCCGAGGAAACTCATCAGCTTTGACCTCGACTGGACCTGATATGGTAATAAAGGGTTTATTTGAATTTATATTCAGTGTCATCAGAGATAAATACAAGCTTAAGGAGATACAAACATTCCACACAAAAAAAAACTTCAGAATTTGTCTTATTTTCAAAATACATTTACTTGACAATTTGCATAAGATATTAAATCTTGATTTCAGAAAACACAATTATTTGATTTTTCTTAGGTAACTTTCTTGTACGATTTATGCTTTAAAAAACAATAAAAAAATCTTTATCTCATTATAAGGATGATTTTACTGAAAACAAGACAAAAATACTGATTAAGAAAATATTTTTTGCAGTACAACAACACTGCCTAGACTGAATAAGGTACACTACTGTTCAAAGGTTTCAAGCGAGTAAGATTTTTTTATGGAAAGAAATAAATACTTTTAATTAGAAAGGATGCAAACTGATCAAAATTGACAGTAAAGACTTTAACATTATATACATATTTTTACAAAAATAATTAAAACCTATATTTTAAATTAACGTTGTTCTTTTGAAATTTCTATTCAAAGAATCCTCAAAGAATTTATCAAGAATTTTCACAAAAATATTAAGCAGCTTGACTGTTTTCAACATAGATAATAGTAAGAGATTTTTCTTAAGCACTAAATCAGCATATTAGAATGATTTCTGAACGATCATGCAACACTAATGACAGCTGAAAATTCAACTTTGCCATCACATCAATAAATTACATTTTAAAAAATACATTAATAACAAACAGGTATTTTAAATTGTAATATTTTACATTTGTTTTTACTTTTACTTTTTTATCAAATGAATGAATTATTTTTTTTGTAACAAGAGACATTTCTCAAAAACATTTAAAAAAATACTTTATTATTTAAAAAATTAAATCATATTTCTAAACACAAAAGAACCTCTTGCCTTTCCTAGAGGGAACAGTAACTGGCACAATCTCCTGGTCAAAATATCCAGCCTTCTGAGCTGCTTCAGTTCTGTTCTGTGATGTTACGGCAAACTGGTCCTGAGCCTCACGGGACACCCCCCACTGCTTGGCCACATTCTCAGCTACACAGACACACGACCAAAACTAGATCAGTTGGCCTATTAAAGGACACAATAAAGGTAGGCAGTCTGTTTTAAAATATTACCTGTGACTCCCATGTGGTAATTGTAAAATGCATCTGTGAGTCCATCAGTCAATATAGAGTCCTGCAAAGTAGCGTCCCCCATCTTCACCCCTGACCTCATCTGCACTATATGAGGAGTCTGACAGACAAAGTGTTGCATGGATATCATCACCTGTTACTTAAAAATAACAGAAGTGCCCTAACATTAGTGTCTTTACAGATGTCTTACCCGACTCATGCTCTCCATCCCTCCTGCTACTACTATAGTGGATTCTTTAGTCATGATGGACTGAGCACCAAGACACACAGCCTTCAGGCCAGATCCACAGATCATCTGACAGCTCCATGCTGGCACGGAGTATGGGATACCAGCACCAACACTTGCCTGCCGGGCAGGATTCTGCCCATGACCTTAAGTAAATGTAGGAGATTACTATCAATTCCCAAGTGAACTTGAGCTTTGTGAGTTCTGTATTTATATGGTGAGTAGGCTAAAGTACACTACATGAAGTGCTATACCTGCAGTGAGGACATGACCCATGATGACCTCGGAGACTTCTTCTGGCTTTACATTGGCCCTCTTCAGCACATCTTTGATGACTAGTGTCCCCAGATCATGGAGAGGTACACTACTAAGGGTTCCATTGAATGATCCTGTCAATAAAAAAAAAGCAAAAATATTGATACTTTTAACTGAAAAATAGAATTTATAGAAGAAAGCAAAAAAAGGCTATATTGCCCATACACCAACTTTTGCTTTTTACCATGTCAAAATCATATGGAGCATGCATGTGTAAACAGACCAAAAAAAAAAAAGATTGTAAATGCTATTTCTAATTTAATAATGCTATGCTATTATTATCTCATTTAAATATTGGTATTATTTCCATGATTAAAAGTTATAGGAAACAACAGCATAATTTACTTAATGGGCAGAATTATAAAAAAAGTATATATGAAGAATTTATTATACAGTATATGAATGATAAAGGATTCAGCAAAGCGATCAATACAATTTATCCTGGCCATGGCGCTGCAATAAATCAACCAATCAGAGCACGAGAACACTGGCGAGAACGCCGAGCAACCAATCAGAGCAGCTTTACGTTTCTCCTGACACAACACTACTGCCGGATAGCTCGAGCATTAGCTAACTAAAATAAACAAATCAGACACATACTTTGACTATACATAACTAAAGCAAACAGACTCTCAAATAATAAGATTATTATTTGGTTAATTTGTTAAATCAGGGGTTAGTGACACAGGAGATAAAACTTTCTAGTATAATCTGTCAACAGGATACACTGTAGTTTGCAGCGACACAGAGGTGCTCAGCATCGTATGGAAAAAATAGCATAATGATATGAGACATGAGATTATGTTTACCTATAGGAGTCCTTGCGGCAGAAACGATAACAATCGCATCCGTGTTCATCTTTGCTGTAATGCTGGTTTTCTCGGCAGGTTCCTTGTTGTGTGTCCGGTAGGCTGGCTCTCTCTATATATGCAGGTTGTCTCGAGGAGCCTCCTTCTTCACGCGGTCT